TCTATCTATCTATCTATCTATCTATCTATCTATCTATCTATCTATCTATCTATCTAATCATCTATCTTTCTATCTATCTATTGGGGGCAATAGGCTGACTCTATAAAGTGCTTAGAGAAGGCTGTAAAGCACTATGAAGTGGTATATAAATCTAACTGCTATTGCTAACTGCTATTGCTAAAGACAAGCTATATTTCCTCCACCCACCCATGTTACAAAGTGCTTCTGAATTATTTTGTAAACGTTCCACTTCCCAAACTGAACACGAAAAACAAATACAAAATGTGAATTCCTGACAAGACAGGGAATTGTAAGCATCAGTGAGTTATATGTGCACAATTCTACAACATATGTAACAACAAGGTGATAATATGTATGGCTTGCTTTTTCTGTTCTTGGGTTTTGTTTTGTTTTTCTGCAAGCCAAATTTTATCAAACAGCTCAGATGCCCAGAATCCCTCTACAGAGAGCCGGTCAACTGTTCAAAAGAGCTTTTGACTGCTTTATGTACATTTTGTTGGATTTAAACCAAAGCAAACCACTTCATACTTGGCAGCACGATTGTTATGAATGTTTTCTTCCCAAATTCAAAGGAAACAGTTGGTAGGAATTCACCCTGAAGCGTATTTACTTTCAAGCAAATTTATTCGGTTTCCTTAATTTTATGAGAACGTAATTGGCTCAAGTATATATTGAATGGTTTTTTTTTTTAAAGAGACACTTTTTTGTCTCCACTGGCAACTATTGTTTGGCTGTGTAAATCTCTTCTATGGATAACATGCCTTGAGATTTATTTATTTACTAGCAGGGTACCTGAGCTTCACTACAAAACTATGTGATCAGGCAAGTTTTTTGGGAGGAAAATAAAGGGGGGTGTGTGGAATCTGCCTCTGCCTACCAGCATCCATAGATATTCATCTGGCTAGAGTCCTGTCAGTGTGTGAGAGAGTTGAGGGCTGTTTGGAAACTGAAGCAGTATTTGCTGTGTGAGCAAGAAGGAGACAGCAAAGAGCCTGGGCGTGGCTTAGCTCAACTGTTCTGTACTGAAGCTGCTTGGTGCTGTGAAACTGAAATTGACACTCCTCTCCTCTGCTTGTGTTTTGCATTTGGAAGAGATTTCTTTTCAGGTGGGGAGGGGGAGTAGAACTCCTCAGCATCAGAGCGTGTTAATAATAATAATATAGGAAATACTAATGCTCTGATGGGCCTTTCGAAAAATCCTTTCTTAGTGAGCCCCTAGAAGCCAAGAGGAACATATGTGCCAAATTTCAAGTTTGTAGGCTTTATATTTCTGGAGATTTTGTGATGATGCGTGAGTGGTATTTCACTTTTATATAGAGAGATTAAGATTATTATTCACCATTTTTCTGCTGATATTCCTACATTTTAACCATTACACTGAATTGACTCTCCCTTAAGAATATAGACCACTTCTATTGTAACTGAAGGAAGCCAATATACATATACATATACATATACATGTTTGTCTGTGAGTCAGACTTTTACAGTTGTTTCAGTTTTAAATTTGGCTGACTCACAGACGAACACAATGCAGAAGCCTGATGATGGCAGATGAGATTCTGCCAAAACGTTGCTACAACTTTAAAAGCACAACTATAATGACATGGGAAAATACCCGAACAAAGCTGAATACCATACATGTAAGTACCTGCAAAAACTTAAGAATATATATATGTATGTATGTATGTATGTATGTGTATGTGTATGTGTATATGTATATGTATATGTATATGTATATGTATATATTAAAAAAAGAATATAAATTGAAGTGTTTAGCATAGCTATCAGCTCCTACAAAAATGGATCTCTTTGTAAGCTAATAGCTAACAGAATTGGTTTGTCTTTTAGATCTGTTGTACGGCAGTCCTCAAAGTATGACAGCAATTAAGCCCAAAATTTATGTTGTTAAGTGAGACCTTTGTTAAGTCAGTTTTGCCTCATTTTACAACCTTCCTTGCCACTGTTGTTAAGTGATACACTGCAGTCGGTAAGTTAGCAACATGGTTGTTAAGTGAACCTTGCTTCCCCATTGACTTTGCTTGCCAGAAGGTCGCCAAAGGAATCACGCCAAAGGGATCACGGTCGTAAGTATGAACCAATTGCCAAGCGTCTGAATTTTGATCACGTGACCATGGTCGTAATTGTGAAAAATGGTCATAAGTCACTTTTTTCAGAGCCACTGTAACTTTGAACAGTCACTAAATGAACTATTCTACGTCGAGGACTAGCTTATATATATACCAAGCCCATAGAAGAAGATCATGCCCATAATGCGGCCAGTTGATTAATTCTTTTAAACAGCTATCATACCATATTTCAGATTAAAAATCAAGCATCCAAGTCATTAAATCAGAATCCGAGGATGAGCCTATTATGTTAGTTCTTAAAATCATACTGTAAAAGTCTTCACGAAATAAAGTTTCCAAGAGCATTTTTTGCATTAACGCTGTCGAGTTCAACGTAAGTCAAATCCTCCTAGAGTTGGCTTCACAGGCCATTGAGTACAGTGGTGGGCTGCAACCAGTTTAACAACCAGTTCTGAGAGCGCATGCCAGTTTAACAACCAGTTCTGAGAGCATGCACTTTGCACGCACGGGTGCCTAACATGCACACAGCGTTCAAAATACAGCAATGCGAAGCTCAACTGCTTACCTTCCAGGGCAGTGATGGCTAACCTGTCGGTCCTTGCGTGCCAAAAGTGTGTGCGCCCGCGTGCCAGCGCCCATAAGACAATGCACGAGGGGGATGCACCACGCTGTCTGGTGCACCCACCATGCACCAGACAATGCACCATGCCCCCTGCATGACCCCTCCATGCACATGCTGTGAATCTCTGTGCGACGCCCCATGCGTACTATGCATTTCTGCGCATGCCCGCATGTTCCCTGCACATGCCCCACCCTTGCACATGCGCAGCAACTACCCAGTGATCAGCTGGCAGGTGGGCGGCATGCGCAATGGACCAGCTCTGGTGATGGCTCATGTGCTGGTGGAGATAGCTCTGCGTGCCACTTCCGGCATGCGTGCCATAGGCATCACGGTTCTAGGGCAGCCCTGGTAAGTAGAACAGCTGAGGCACATGAATCAGCTGAGCCCAAAAGAAGGAAATATAGGACAGGATAGGGCGAGGCCAGCCGATGTTTGGAACTACCGGTTCAGTAGAACCGGTACGAACCGGCAGCAGCCCACCGATTGAGTACCTGAATAATGTTAACGGCACCCCATTATATTATTTGCACCAATAATAGAGATCCTTCTCCTACTCCTTAACATTTCTTAAATGTAGATTTTCCAGCTCTCAAAAGCAAATCAATGCTGCAAATTGATTTTTCTCACCCGTCACGGCTGAATCCGATTTCTAATTTCATTTGGCTGTTTGAGAAGCCAACAAATTGGTCCACTTAAGACTTTGGAGAAGAGGTATCTTATACAGATGTATATTTGCTAAGTCTTGATACAGGTAGTCCTCAGCTTATGATCCCAGTTGAGTCCAAAATTTTATGTGGGTGAGTGAGAAATTTGCTAAATGAATTATGCCCCCTCCTTTTCTGACTTTTCTTGCCATGGTCGTTAAGTGAATCACTGCCGCTTGATAGGTTAGTAAGATGGTTATTAAGTTAATCTGGCTTTCCCCCACTGACTTCGCTTGTCAGAAGGTCACAAAAAGGGATGCAGGGAACTCTGTGACGGTCATAAATCCATGCTAGCTGGCAAGCATTTCAATTTTGATCACGTGACCCTGCAAAGGCCGTTAAGTGTGAAAAACGGCCATAAGTAGCTTTTTTCAGTGCTGTTGAAACTTTGAATGTTCACTAAATGAACGGTTGTAAGTTGAGAACTACCTGTACATATATTACCTTCTATAGTTCTTCTGTCATAAAGTAACTGTCAGGCAGGAAAGATAAGGTCCACACATGAATTAAACTGACTTATTGCTAAACAGCCTATGCACAGGAATCTTCTCAATTCATGGTTAGCATTTGCTTGAAGTTAGATAAGGGTCAATGGAATTCAAGGGAGCTTGGACTTAGTTCGCTTGTGACTACGTAGGGATTCTAGGCTGATCCCTCTTTTAACTCCTTCTCCTACAGTAACCTTCGCCTTAACAATAACAGTGACAGTTACTTACATAAAATTCACGCAGCCTGTTCCTGCAGGAGGAGCAATCCAAACAAAACTGAGATTTGTGGTTGGAAGGTGGCTGACGTGCGATGCAACCACGCTGCACATGAATTGATTCCCAAATTGGTGATCAGACATTATTCCTGCAAGGAAGAGACAAAATAAATATTCATGAAAATTCATTCAACAGTTTCATTCTATTTCTGCACAAGCATCCATGAACAATTAATAAGAAATTCATACAGAAGTGGTCTTCAACAGGTTTTGACCAGTTCTGGGTAACCGGTAGCGGAAATTTTGAGTAGTTTGGAGAACCGGCAAACACCACCTCTGACTGGCCCCGCCCCCATCTATTCTCCGCCTCCCAAGTCCCAGCTGATTGGCTGGGTCTTCTTTTGTTGCCCTGCACAGGAGAATGGAGCTGGAAAGCAGGTGGGGATGGGGAGGCAATGGGATTTTGCCACGCCCGCCATGCCCACAGAACTGGTAGTAAAAAAAATTGAATCCCACCACTCTGTGTGTGTGTGTGTGTGTGTGTATACACACACATATACATATATGCACACACACGATGGATAGATAGAAAGATATAGATAGATAGATGATAGATGATAGATGATAGATGATAGATAGATAGATAGATAGATAGATAGATAGATAGATAGATAGATAGATATTACTTTGAACACTAATGGGAAATTACTCTTTGCTCTGAACTTCAAAACTACATTTTCCTATATTCTCAATGTACAGTATTTCTTTCACTGGGCTTTAAAATGTTAATTGATCTTTTTAACCATTTAGTATTGATTCTTTTCCTATTCTGTTATTGATACTTAAAAGATTATTTGACAGAGAAGAAGCTTCAGGTAAAAATAGAATATATAGTATAGTATAATGAAAAACTTCCTCTGTATTTTGGAATTTTGTATTTGATAGTATTTGTCCATATCCATGGGTGGGAATCTAGAGCCAATTGCCCAGACTAACAATTTCCCAAGAATTATTTTTGGGTCTTCTCCAAGTTTTGTCTACGGAGATTCTCAGCCATCTAGATTATGGTTGTCCCAAAGGTACTTTTTCAAAAAGCAAGCTGGACTGTCACAGAGCTGAAGAAGTTTCTTGGATGAGAAGCAAACTGTCTTCAAAGAAAACACAAGAAAGTCCAGTTGCCTCTTGAAAAAGCAGCTTTGGCTCTTCCCCAAATTAATTATGTTGTAAAAATGGAGATTAAGATATCTGGAAGCTCTTAAAGTCTACCTCGCACTGTTAAGTCCTAGAAAAAAACAAACCAGGAAGTCTTCAAAAACCTACTGGTATTCTATGGATTAAAATCAATGGACCAGATTTTTGTTGCTGTTGTTGCTTTATTCTCTACAATGGTGGTGGAACTTAGTTCCATCATGGAACTTAGTTCTTTGAGCAGAACAAGTAACAGACACTGCATCTTCAAATGCAATCCTAAACTGCATTAACAGAGGGATACAATCAAGATCAAGTGAGGTACTAATCTCACTCTATAAAGCCTTAGTAAGACCACACCTAGAGTACTGCATCCAGTTTTGGTCACCACATTATAAAAAAGGTGTTGAGACTCTAGAAAAAGTGCAGAGAAGAGCAACCAGGATAATTAGGGGACTGGAGACGAAAACATGAAGAACGGTTACAGGAACTGGGCTTGGCTGGTCTAGGGAAGAGACAGACCAGGGGAGACAGGATAGCAGTCTTCCAATATTTGAGGGGCTGCCACAGAGTGGAAGGGGTCAAGCTATTTTCTAAAGCACCCGAAGGTCAGACAAGGAATAATGGATGGAAACTGAACAAGGAGAGATTCAACCTGGAAATAAGGAGAAACTTTCTGACAATGAGAACAATCAACCCATGGAATAGAAGTTGCCCTTGGAAGTTGTGGGAGCTTCATCACTTGAGACTTTCAAGAAGAGATTGGACTGTCATCTGTCAGAAATGGTGTAGAGCCTCCTGCTTGGGCGGGGGGTTGGACTAGATGACCTACAAGGTCCCTTCCAACTCTGATTATCTGTTATCTGTTAAATTGTATGATTCTTATTTGTACTTTTCCACCCCTTTCTTTTTAGTTATAGAGATTTTAAATTACTATAATGTGTATAGTTTCTCACTCTATTATCACCGTTGTATCATTCTTTGCAGTTCAGTATTTTTTTTCCCTAAAAATTAATTTATTTTTTTGATGATATATAACATGTAAGTGGAAAAGAATTTTCTTGAAGGACTGGTTGGACCAAAATAAGTACAAAGTTGAAGGGAAAAATATCATTAAGGTAGAAGTTTGCACAAACTTTTACAGATAGTCCTCGAGTTACAACCACAATCAAGCCCAAAATTTCTGTTGCTAAGGGAGGAATTTGTTAAGTGAGTTCTGCCCCATTTCACAACTTTTCTTGCTACATTTGTGAATCACTGCAGTTTTTAAATTAGTAACCCGGTTCAGTGAATCTGGCTGCTTCATTGATAGAAGGCGATCCCATGACCCCAAGATACTGCAACTGTCATAAATATGAAGCATATCAAGCATCTGAATGTAAATCACATGACCATGGGGATGCTGCAACAGTTATAAGGGTGAAAAATGGTCATGTCACTTTTTTTTCAGTGCCGTTCTAACTTCACACTTAGAAGTGAGTCCCATTAAGAATTATTTCCTATATAGAATTGCAGGCTATAATGTCCTAAAATATTTCTTTGTACAGAAAAAAAAGAGGGAAATTAGAGGTTTAGATTTTTGTTGTTCTGTAAGTAAAGCAGTATTTCCCATAGACTGTTTTGCCTCTGTCGGAATCTGATTTGGAGAAGGAGGCTGAGCAGCTGACAGGGAGCAGGAATGTGGCTCCATTGGCTGTGGAAGACACTGGGGAGGGGCAAGGGCCGGCTGGGCAGAACAGGGGAGAGGTAGAGCAAGGGAGAGGGAATTCAGAGGAAGACCCAGGTCCACCCTCTCTTCATCCTAGGGCATGCAGGGAGGAACGGAGAAGGGAGCAATGTGGGTTGCGTGGCTTACGGGGGAGGAAAGGGACCTGAATCCCTTCATTAGCTGCAGCTGGGAACAGTGTTTAAAAAGGGAAGCTGCGTGCAGCAAGTTGTTGGGAGCAAATTGTGAATTATCTGGTATCCCTGAGGCTTGTCTGTGTTCCTGGCGTCTTCCCAACTGTGTGTGTTTTGCTGTGCTTTCAAGTCTGCAATTCCTTCTCCTGCCTTGTCAAGTTAATCACTGCAGCGTGGTTTGTGTGGATTTTTAGTTACAGTTTGTATGTACTTTGTTTTCGGACTGAATTTCCTCCACTTAAAAGACTGTTCCTGGGAGAGTTTTACTCCAGCTGAAGGTAGCCTGGACATTGGGGGCAAAGTTGGAGATAATAAAGGGACTCTTCTTGCTTATTTGACTGTGTTGCTTTTGTGCCACGCCCCAGGACATCACATAGACTTAGCATAGCATTTCATTGTAGACCTTGGATATGAAAATGAAAACACATCTGTACAAAGCCAGACCACTATGGAAAACAGAAGGAAGGAGCGCAAAAAAAAAAAGTAATTATGCTGCAGTTTCTCTAACCAACCCTTATGATAGACATGACACTGGCAAGGGTTCTCTCTTTTTAAAATAATAATAAGATTGTATTTTTCTTCTACATGCTCTGAATATTCAGGTCATTTAATACAGAAACAGCAAGGACTAAAGAAAAAATGATTGGGTGCATCACTATTTTTTAAAAATAGAGTTTCTACACATCTTTGTGTCATTTGGGGTAGAGCCAACAGCTAAGACTCACTAAATCACAACCTATTTAAAAAGGTAAGAAAGACTTCCCTGGAGTTATTTCCCCCTTGAGTTTTATTGTGTGTTGAAACAGTATATATGTCATTCCATCTTATTATGCCTTTCTCTGTTGTATATTACTTTACAGTGAAACTGTTAAGGATACTGGCTGTATATCATGTCTAATCCAAGCCCTGGAACAGGGCTTATCCGTAATAGATGGATGTCCTCAATTTTCTGGCACTTGCTGTAATAAAAGTTCTATATAACCCAAATTAAGACAAGGTCATTGGAGCATTTTCAGGAATCTGGTCACTTGTGGAGGACTTTAATTCTTCCAATGGGTCATAGACAAGGTCAATGGAATCCTGAGGACTTGAAGTTCAAGTCTGGCAGGGATAATATATAATTTATATAGATGTTTTTATGGTCTTCAAAGTCCTTCACATAGAATAGTTGAGCAATTTTTTTTCCTCCTGAAAAGCATTGTTGGAAGGACAGTGTAACTATGCCCGTGTTGTAGACAAGTTGTGGAGAATGAGAGGGTCTTTCTCAGATTTTAACGTGCAAAAAAGGTCAGGGGTGACCACCTCATCATTTAGATCTTGATGGTTTATCTTCTATGCTTAAAGCACCTCAACTCATCTCAAGGTGTGCTCCATAAACATCATCCAGCATGACCAATTAGTGTATTGTGCAGGGATGATGGAACCTCATCCAAAGATGCTAGTCCAATGCATCTGGATGCCAACATTTTTGGGGGAAATGTAGGACATGATAGTATCTCACTGAAATGTTTCGACTGAGTTACTATATTCATGTTTGATCAAGCCAATATTTAGTGTTATATTAAACTAGCTGGATAACCGTACTTTGCAATGATACTATGTGATCAGGCTATGCAGGAGAAATCCAGTTCACAATCCGTTGGCTCAGTGGTGGTCAGTGATTGAAACACATAAGGGAATATCGCTCCCACCACCTTGAGTCCAGAAGCAGTTCCATAAGTGGAAGGCATAGACATTTTGGTGAGGTACTGACATTTAGTAGTGTAAGAGCCCCAGACAGCTCCTGAGTGAGGGAGTAGAATGTGCCAGTTTGAACTGAGGTAACAGAATGTGAGGCAACTGGCAGTTGGAACAGAGTTCTTTTCAGGTGGGGAGGGGGAGTAGACCTCTTTAGCATCAGAGCATGTTCATTACTGTATTAAGTAATAGTAATGATCTGATGGTCATTTTGAAAAATCCTTTCTTAGAGAGCACCTAAAAGCCAAAGTGCTAAATTTCAAGTTTGTAAGCCTTATGGTTCTGGAGATTTTGTGATGAGTGAGTGGTGCTTGGCTTTATATAT